ACTGATTTAAAATCAATTATAGGTTATATTTTGGATATTTACAATAGGCTATTGTAGCATATGAGGAGAACAATGGGACAAGATTATCTTGGAAAGCTGAAACAATGTTTTGCATTTCCCTCAAGCTTGGTGTAGTAGTGGGCAAGCATCTTGTGGGAGGTTTTAAACCAGAGGTTAAAAGGGTAGATTGCCTTTGGTTAGGATGCTTAGCTGCTATATCATGGTTGTCATGTCACGATGTATCGCAACTTTTTTTGCATTGCCAGAGCTGGGGTGGGCGCAGCCTCCGCATGATGCAAGCTGCCCTCAGGCCGGCAGTTTGACACCCCTGTGCTATATATTAAAGACTTTAGCTGCTGTATGCTAAAGAAAGGCTCAATATCAATTTTTAGAAATACACAAGATAGCTGATCTGAAGCAATTATTATGTAGGTTTTGCATTAATAATGTAGACTGTTAATTTTAGTTGATACAGTATATTAAAAATAAGTTAGTATAAACCAAACTCTTAGCATTTCTTAAGGACTGAAGAATGTTATTCTTGAATGTATATTCAATGTATATTCAAGAATACAGTCAATAAAGTCAAGAATACATACAAGGTCTTCTGTTTATTTTAATGTCATGGGTTGATGTGGTTTGGAAAATACAAATATACATTCTAGTAAAGTAATGTTTTAAGGAGAAGCATCCTAACATACAATATTATCGCCCAAAAAAAACACCTTAGCAGAAATCAATGTTTTTACTATTCCATTACTTGCTTTACATGTCTGTTGAGATATCTTGCCAAAGCATATATGGGTAGCTATCTAAAATATGCACCCATATCAACTTTCAGTATATTATAATTTACTAGGAGGGAGTACAATATATTACAATGAAAATGTGTTTTTATATTTCCACATTCTTATAAGATGATTTGAGTATCAGTATTTACTAAAAGAAGCAGGTGGTGGGCATAAATGTTCATTTGCATCCTTAAATTATTAACACTTCTTTTTAACCTGATGCTTCTGCAGACACACACACTTCAACTAGTCTGTCTTAGCACAATGACAGCCAATCCTTTCATCTCTATACTTTTTCCACCAGCCGCTATACTTTGAAAGACATTTGAAACATGCACTTTATGGGTGTCTCAGGCTGCAACAAAGGTAAGACTGTTTTGAATACTGTTGGATATGACAAATAGTGAAAGTTGCTGAAAAGGCACTCCAATGCAAAATAACAAAAAAACATATTTTCATTTGTGCTGTTCCCGAGTGAGGAGTTGGCGGACATTTTTGTTAGTACAATCTGTGTTGTCTACAGTGTTTGAAAACCATTAATATTTTTTTCCAGCTTTATATGGGTAATTTTACTTTAAAAAAATTGGGACTATTTAGGTTTCTCCATTCATACACAGGTGCTGTGATAGCTTACTCTCACATTTCATGCATTAACAACACTCCTCAAATAATTTACTACATTTCATCACTCTGGGAGATCATACACAATTAATATATTGTGGATCTTTGTCATAGCCATGTTTATGTAAAATGAGAATAAGGTCCTCAGAAGCCTCTTCTATAGTTCATGCTGGTTTTCATGATTTCCATCTCACAATGATAAGGCATGTTTACAATAATTATTTGTGTTCTGGATGCTACATTACAAAGCAAACATTTGAAAACTGGGTTGCCCACTCCTATTTTGCAATGTGTGGCATTTTTATCAATTGAAGATAAAGAATATAAATATCTTGGGTTTGAAATGATGCCCTTTCAAGCTCATGATCTTTTAACAAAATCTTTTAAAGAAAAGATTTCGGTGCGCATCAGGAAAAGAAAACCCACACTCTTCATCCGGTCAAATTATCTCAAGGTCTACCTTGTTTAAGATGAAGCTGTTCCTTACTTCATCATAGACTACTCTAGCTCTCCCCCACTCAGTAGAGCAGTATCTTACCTAATTACCTAATAATAATAAAGTTGGAAGGGACCTTAGAGGTCATCTAGTCCAACCCCCTGCTCAGGCAGGAAACCCTATACCATTTCAGACAAATGGCTGTCCAGTCTCTTCTTAAAAACTTTCAGTGTTGGAGCATTCTAACGGTCAGGAGGTTTCTCCTTAGTTCTAGGTTGCTTCTCTCTTTGGTTAGTTTCCATCCGTTGCTTCTTGTCCTGCCTTCAGGTGCTTTGGAGAATAGCTTGACTCCCTCTTCTTTGTCGCAACCCCTGAGATATTGGAACACTGCTATCATGTCACCCTTCGTCCTTCTCTTCATTAAACTAGACATACCCAATTCCAGCAACCATTCCTTATATGTCTTAGCCTCCAGTCCCCTGATCATCTTTGTTGCTCTTATCTGTACTTTGTCTAGAGTCTCAACATCTTTTTTACATCGTAGTGATGAAAACTGAATACAGTATTCCAAGTGTGGCCTTACCAAGGCATTGTAAAGTATTAACACTTCACGTGATCTTGATTCTATCCCTCTGTTAATGCACTGTGTTGGCTTTTTTGGCAGCTGCAGCACACTGCTGGCTCATATTTAAGTGATTGTCCACTAGGACTCCAAGATCCCTCTCACAGTTGCTACTATTGAGCAAGGTACCACCTCCTATACTATACCTGTGCATTTAGGTTTTTCTTGCCTAAATGTAGAACTTTACTTTTTTCACCATTGATTTTCATTTTGTTAGATAGCACTCAATGTTCAAATCTGTCAAGATCCTTCTGTATCTTAAGCCTATCTTCTGGAGTGTTGGCTATACCTGCCAGCTTGGTGTCGTCTGCAAATTTGATGAGTTCCCTCATCCAACATGCCTCTAGGTGTTCGCTGATTTGTTGCTTGATTATCTTTTCTAAAATCTTCCAAGGTATTGAGGTCAGGCTAATAGGTCTGTAGTTTCCTGGATCCATTTTTTTTCCTTTTTTGAAGATGGGAACAAATTCAGTTCTTTTCCAGTCCTCTGATAGCTCCCCAATGCTCCAGGATCTTTGAAAGATATAGTTCAGTGGTTCTGAGATTACATCTGCCAGTTCCTTCAGAACCTTGGGGTGTAGTCCATCTGGTCCTGGTGATTTGAACTCGTCTAGGCTGGACTGGTGCTCACTTACCGTTTTCTTGCCTATCTTAACTTGCGTTTATATTCTGTTTTTTATGGCACTATTTTTGGTAGGTTGGTCTGTTTTTTCCCTTTGTGTAAAGACAGATGCAAAAAATGAGTTAAATAGTTCTGCTTTCTCCCTGTTGCTTGTCACCTTCTTGCCACTTTCACCCACTAATGGACCAATCATTTCCTTAACTTTTTTCTTGTTTTTTACATGTTGAAAGAAGCTTTTTAAATTATTTTTGACTTTTGTTGCAAGCCTTAGTTCATTTTGAACCTTAGCTTTCCTCACTCCATCTTTGCAGGCTCAGGCTATTTGCTGATATTCTGACTTAGTTATGTGCCCCTCTTTCCACTTTTTATACTTATCCTTTTTGTCTTTCAATTTATCAGAGAGTTCTTTATGCAGCCATGCTGGTTTCTTTTGAGAGCTATTATTTTTCTTCTTTGTTGGTATTGTGGTATCTTATTTATAAGCATCTTCTCTAAGGGATTAAATAAGCTTTTCATGGTTGCCAATTGGTAAATGGTATACTGTATGTCTAAATATTTTAAACTTTTTAAGCTATGTTAAACTTTTGAACCACCTTGGGAGTCTATTGATTGAAACAGTATAAAAAAATTTTAAATTAGAAATGTCCTACAAAATAAGAATTCTGAAATGAAAATCTTAATTTAAATTGTCATAGTGCCTATGATGAAACATTCAAAATGAATATCCACTAAACATTAACTGAATAAAGTTAATTTTTACTACTTGTCTCTTAAATGATCAGTTTTTAATTAAAGGAAATATAAGGTTAGACCTCCCTTCCTTGATTTGTTATTTTATTTCTTATAGGTAGCCTATTCCCTTATTAAAAATACAGAAAAAGTAGTTACACTAATAATCCACTGTGCTTTTTAAAAGATGTATCCCAAACCTATCAAGTTACCAATATTTGCATTAAAATGTAGAGATGTAGATGAAACCAAATTTGCTTTATCATAAGTGCAGAACAAACAGACCTATTTGGAATGTTCTATCAGATGATATTTTGATTGTTAGTCCCATTGGGAGCAATGGAACTCAAAACAACTGCTCCCTTGGACAATCAATCATTTTAGTGGTGTATTCACTTTTAAATAATAGATTCTTATTTGAATCTGCCATGTTATGTGCTGAAGAACCTTAACAGGCATACAGCTAATAGCCTAACTAAACTGTAAGTCAAAATCTGTGGAAAATGCTGAGGACTTGACAGCCTGGCAATTTATTAAGTATAGAGGAGACACGTCAATGAAATAACAGCTTAATCTCATGATAATACAGGTAGTCCTCAACTTACAACAGGTCATTTAGTGACCATTCAAAGTTGCAACAGCATTGAAAAAAGTAATGTATGACCATTTTTCACACTTAATGACTGTTGTAGCATCCCCGTGGTCACATGATCAAAATTCAACTGCTTGGCAATTGGTTCATATTCATGATGGTTGCAGTGTCTAGGGGTCATGTGATCCCCTTTTGCGACCCTTTGATAAGCAAAATCAATGGGAAGCTGGATTCACTTAACAACCATGTTTCTAACTTTACAACTGCAGTGATTCACTTAACAAATGTGGCAAAAAGTCATAAAATGGGGCAAAACTCACTTAACAAATTTCTCACTTAACATAAATGTTGAGCTCAATTGTGGTCATAAGTCGAGGACTACCTGTAATTAAAATTTAATTATGCATGATGCAATTTTTTCTAAAATATATATTTTATTTGTATTATCCAACAGGAATCATCAAAAGCACAGAATAAGGCAGAACATGTATTTCCATTACTTAGTCTGGCTTTGGTTTGCTTCTTCACACGGTGATTCTAGAATCTACCAAGCCTGCAAGAAAATCTGTTTTTGCAAAGAGGGGACAATGTTTGTGAACTGTTCAGGAGTCCATGCTTTGGTGTCAAATCTAACATTTCCCCCTGATGCAGAACACTTGGACCTTTCTCACAACAACTTGTATTCTATTCCTTGGAAATCTCTAAGTTTCCTGTGGAAGTTGCAGGTTCTCCTTTTGAGCAGCAACTCCATCCACAAAGTTGGAGAAAGAACATTCATTTCATTGGGCAGACTCCACAAGCTTGATATTGGTAGAAATGATATCTCGTTTCTTGGCAACAGTTTTTCAGTGGGTCTTATTTCTCTCTATGAACTTATTTTGGCTTACAATAAACTGCAGGAGCTACAGTACAAAAGTTTTCAGTACTTTGAAAACCTTCAGAAGCTGAATTTGCAAAATAATAACATTTCCTCCATAGAAATGGGGACTTTCCGCAGTCTTACTTGCTTGAGGCAACTTTATCTTCAGAACAATTGCCTTCATGCCCTACATACTAGATTATTTTCTATGCTGCAACACTTAGAGATCCTGAACTTGGAGGGTAATATGATAAAAACTATTTCTCCTGGAGCCTTTATTCCATTAAGCCACCTTACAATACTTAACTTGATCCACAATAAAATTGAGCATATTAAATTCAAAACATTATTATCTTTGCAAACCCCTGGAACTCACATCTTACTCTCAGACAATCCCTGGTTCTGTGACTGTGATCTTCAGAGAGTTTTTGCAAAACTGCACAGTGTCAGGAGGCTGATCTTGGATGATTACTATAACATGACATGCATGGAGCCCCATCTCTTGAGAAACCTGCCTCTGTCAGCTGTAGATACGGAACTTTGTATTGCTGAGACAGTGACTGTTCTTGTCATAACTTTTACCGTATTTGTAACTGTTGTAGCTGCCATTGTAATGGCTGAAAGGAACAGGAAGAAAAGGGCTGAGAAACCCTGGAGTGAGGATAGTGACGTTTCTTACAATGCTCAAAACTGATTAAATATTTGGTAGTAGGAAACGCTGTGCTTGAAAATGGTACTTAATTTAGCTATATATATTAGAACTATTTTCAGAACCATGTACATGTGCCTCTCTCCCTCTTAAGTATTTCCTGTTCATCAGGGGCGCAATGTACTGAGTCAATCTATCATCAGCTGAGGCTGAAAAAAATACTTTCAACATAATTTGGACTTTAAATGTGTTCTTAGGAGTTGTGACAGTTCTCATCCACATTGCAGTCTTCATAACAGTGAAGCTGACCTCTTCAGATGTAAGTACAGCAACCACACTGGCAGCCACAAGGATAACTACTGTTACTAATGCTGTGACTAATATGGAGCTACTAAGAAGATGGAATAGACAGGTGCATTCTTCAGGAACCTAGATCCATTATGTGATCAAATTAAGCATGAAACAACAATCCATTTGTATAATAACATAAGAGACAGAAATGTAACGATTGCAGCATTATTAGCCAGCTTTTGTCCGTTCCAAATAAAAAAGTAAATGTTTCTCTCTACTTCACATTAGTTTCTGGAACAGAATCTCTGAGGCATTCAAAGAGGTTGCCAATTTAAATAGTAATATTCAAAGAACTTTTCAATTTTAAAGAACTTTTTAGATTTATATCCGTATGCATGAGCAATTCAATATTGTTAGGTGATAAAGGAACTAATATTTTATAGACTACTCATTTCAAGGTTTTGGGGTGGTTCTGGCTAATGGTGAGGGATAGATGGTAGGCAGGCAGGACAGATTTAGTAAAAAAAACTGATTTTTTCCTTCACCATATTATAATCATTATTAGAAAGATTGCAACAAATAGAAAAATACAGAAAAAGGGAAACTGGTGAGGGTATTAACCTGGTTAATATTTGGATAGGAAGCTGGATTGGCTACCAGATCTGTTTTGTAAAAATCTGAAAAAGAAGTGTCAGTATAGAAAACTCCTGTGTTCTAGGGGTCATCCTAAACCTAGAGACATTTGAAGGCCAGATGTGGTAGCTCTAAGACAAAGATTTTCAAACTCTGGATCATGATTTCAGGAGATGGGACACATATTTAAAAAACAAATTGTTTGCTTATTATGTTTGTACAAAGTGATAACTTTGTCCTACTTTACTGAAGCAATAGCAGCCTTGTGCAAGCAGCACAGGGAGTGAAGTTCAAAAGTGCCAAACAGCTATCAGTCAAACTCAGCTGGTAAGTTCCGACTGCAGCTTTTAGAAGTACCTATATATAATTTAAAAAAAAAAAATTAATTGCTGCCTAGAAACCAAGAGACTGACAGTTCCAAACCTGCCTTAGACATGAAAGTCAGCTGGGTGACCTTGAGCCAGTCACTCACTCTCAGCCCAACCCATCTTACAGGGTGGTTGTGAGGATAATAGGATCAGAAAGGATGTATGTTTGCCACCTAGAGTTATTTATAAAAATAATGAAGGCAGGATAAAAATAAAAAATGACCAGCAAAGTACAGCACATATAGGAGTGAAGTTTAGAATTTTGTTTAAATTCTAGTTTTTAAAAATTGAGAAAAAAATTAAAGATGGCTGTTAAAACAGCTTAAGTCTGGAACCATGATGACAGTTTTAGTAAATGGTGCCTTTCTTGCAGAATTCTAACCTCAACAAAACAGTTTTATTCATGTAGAAGATTACACAAATTCATTTATCATTTTAGGGAACTACAATATAAATTGTGAAGGCCCTGCCCTAAACAATGTGCTAGACTGGGACATCAAAACAAGAAATCCTGGAAGGGGCTCCTTCCACTCCAGACATGCCTAACCCTCTTGCAGCAGTAACCCTCTGAAGTTACATTACAGTATTTTCTTATGAAGGAAAGCACATGCCACCGATAGTAAAGGGGCAGGAAATAATTCGGCTCAATATGTTAGGGCCCACTCAATACCTCATCCTAAGAAAGTAGAACTCGTGGAAGCGGTTTCTTCCAAAAGGAGCTTTTATTAGGAGAAGCTGATAGTAGGCATAATAGACAGGATCTGAGGGTTTCCCACCAGATCAATAGATAAAAAGGATCCCCAAGCATAGTCCCACCCCATAGTTCATCCGATTGGTTCAAACAGGCCAATCCCAGGGTGTTAAGTTCGTTGTGGGAAAAAGGAGATAACATCAGGCCGTCTCCGGGGCCGCAGCGATGTTTAGGCGGCTCTTTGCACCTTCCCTTGCGAACGCGGAGATAACACAGTTGCCAGAGGTACATTCCATTCTCCTTCCCCCTTTCTAGCTGACAGCAGGGAAGAAAGATGTTCACAGAAGAGGAAATGCAGGAATAGCAAAGTGTTACATTGTAGCAATAGAGGAAACAAGGCAATAAACCCCAAGTGCTTCCCCCCTCCCCTCCAGGAGTATGGCAGAACCCAGGGAGAGAAGAGAATACAACATGGGTAGAGAGAGAAAAGGAAAAGGCCCTTTAAAATATGGGTTCTGACACAATCCAAAGAAGCAGCCAAAGAAGCCAGAGCGAGCGACTTCCTGAATATGCATACAATGCCAATCTTTCTTTTTTTAAAATAATATTTTATTAGTTTTCTAATTTTACATTTAGGTATTTAAAAAGCAACGTGGTGGCTGGGTTAATCAACTAAGTACAAAAAACATCATTATTACATTTATCAATAAATTTTTACCTTATACATATCTTAATTACTTTTACATTCAATCTTTATAGGCAATCAATGTCCTGTTATTGGTTTTTTTCCAATTTTTAGTTTCCCATCAATATTGAAATATAACATTTGATATTTATAATTTCCAGGCTTTAGGTAACCAAAGTTTCCCTTATCTCAATTCATAACAGAATCTACTATTCAAAATATACATCTTATCTATTTGAGTATAGTCTTATTCTATTTTCTAAAAGTTATTTATTTCCCACCATATTAAATCATCTAATTAATAATACAGTATCCCCTTCAATAAATCAAAACCATTATATATATTGTCTGGGTTAATCAATAAATCAAGCATATTCATTTTTTTTCTTTTGGATCTAATTTTTAAATATTAAACAAATGGAATCCTTATTTTCAACTAATTTCCAAATATTTTAAATTTAATGACCAAAATTCCCCTTATCTCAACTTCTCCCTTTAACCCTCTAATTAATAACATGAAAACCCCTCTAATAAATCAAAACCCCAATTTTCTTCAGCCTTATTCTGGCTTTCTTACTTTGCCAACTAGCCTTCCATGTCAATGCTTTTAAATCATCAAATAGATCTCCTCTATTATTATATATATTATTTAAAATTAGAGAGACTATTTAGTTGCCATTTTTTTGGAAGGACTACTAGCCCATTTGTGTTCATTAGATCGTCTCCCTATTACTCCAATTCCCCATGATTGTCCTGAGATGTTTATCTTCCATTCAATCTGTTCTTCTTCCTTCTCCTCAAATTTCTTCTGATTTATATAGAAAGTCTTTTCCATTTTCAGTGTTGTCACTCCCTTTTCTGGATTTTCCATTAACTGTATTTATTGGTCAATTGAGTCTTCTGTCTTAGTATTTGATTGTTCCACTTCTTCTGTTATCTTCTGCGTTGTTAATTCTTTGGTTGTAGTCAAAATTTGAGTTTGTATATTTAAGCTGGCATCTTGTTCTTTTATGTTGCATCTAGTTTTGTCACAAGCTGAAAGAATGGTTTCATGTATTGCTTTCAACATGGAAAGGATCTTTTCCTGGTCTTCATCCATATTCTCTTAATAGTGTGTTAAGTTGAGGACTTTAAAATCAGATGTTAAAAATAATTTTATAACTAGGTATGGGACCTCTTTTCACATATTATAGGTGGTCTTTATAATAGAAGTCGTTTGTCAAGTAAAATTTTATAGTCCAAGGTATTTCATCATCTCATGTAATAACCATTGTTCAACACCACCTCTTTCGTTCATAAAGCAGAGGATCCAAATTACTAAACCTACATTTCTCAACAGAGGGTAAATTAAAGGAACAACGGGGCTTCCTTTCCTCGAGGGCTTGGTCCTATTCAGAAGGAAGCGCAGGCCCCATGGAGTCACAGCGGGCGGAAAGAGCCATGGCGGCGCTTCCAGCGGGTCCGTAATCCCCAATGGCCCTTGGATTTGAGAGTGGATAGGCTTCGGCTACATAACGAGGTTATATTCCTCATGCTCTAGCCCTGACCAAGCACGTTATCATTACCTCACTCGACCCCCTTCGGAGGGAAGATTTTTGCCTGTATTTTGATCCAAAGCTATCATTTTATGCAAGCCCGCTAATCAAGACCATCACTGGTGACAGTGGGACCCACAAAAAGTTCCCCTTGCAGTACTGCCATTTAACGAGATTTCACCCCAAGAGCGAAGAGACCGAAGCCACCCCAATTCTCGCTCCTCCCGGATAGCTACGTTCTTTCATCAAAACAAACACGAAAGCCGCCCGTGGTCACTCCCAAGTCCCACCCGCCGCTCCGGGCATCGCGAATCAGAAGGCACGGGAGCGTCGCGTCTTACGCGACGACTGGACAGAAATTGCCGCTCTGTTTCTCTTACCTGCTGGGTTGGTACCCCTGCTGGAGCGGCTAGGATGCTGGAGGTACGTTTGGACGAGGCGCTGCCCCTGCAAGAGACCGCAGGGAGGAGACTGCACGACGGCCTCGTCCTTTCTCTCGTTTGAACTCCCCGGGAACAGAAGCTAGTTCCTCTGCGACCGAGCTTATTTAGCGGGGGAGGGGGGGTCGTGCTTGCCTGGGCTCCCTCACGGTCGTCCTCGTCCTCCCCGCCCCCGAAACATTTTAGAAATTTCTGGCAATTATGGCCACAGAAGTTGATTAACGTGTATAGGTCCTTTTGTGAGCGACACAAATGAAAAAGTTCAAAACTAAACATAATAGTCCTTCAGAGGTTCGAAGGTTGCAAAATTTGCAACCGTTCCTTGAGAGGAGCTGGCAGTGTGGCTGTTCCTAATGTTTACATGTGACACTGAATTTCGACATGGGTCCTAGTGGTGGGGTG